AAAAAAATCGCAATGGCTACCCCGAGTACTTTTTTTTATTTTATTTTTTTGGAGACATCGGTACATGGAGAAATCTTATTGTAAATTAAGAAGTAATAATGACGAGGAAGACTGTAAGGCTTTTGAAAGATAAATTAGCCACACTTATCATCTTGGGCAGCCTTTTACCTTGAAAAGGAGCATTATTTTTATAAAAGGGAAACGCTGCGGAACATGTCTCTATATGAATTATAATAATGGACGTTATGGGGAGTTAACATAATTTCCTACACATGTGATTTTGGGGTTGCAAGCGTACATTTTGCCACCGTGATGTTCTGTCTCCTTCATGTCTTCTAGCTGCAGCATAAGGAGACCTCTCGAAATACCACCAAACCGTCTTGGCGTAATTATGAGCAGGCTGTTCCTGCGCACCTGCTTCATTATCTCTGCAAATGTGTAATGTCGCTCCTGCACATTAATAAGCACTCTGATTCCACATGTGCCCTTTACCCAGCAGATGCTGCCGTCCCGTGTCACGCCATCCCTCCACGAGCAGAGCGCAGCGCGTGCAGCGCCTTACCAAACTCTGTCTATCTAGTGCTCTGCACACAGCTGTCACTTCCAGTGATCAGCAGAGAGATGATCACTCCCCATCCCCCCAGCCTCTTCCTCTGAATCCTTAATGCATATGGAGCATCAGGTCTGCTCGCTATTTATTTTGCTTGTCTGGGCGCTGGGAGAGCTGGGAGACTGTTTTATATCCCCTGTTGTAAAAGTGGTTTCGCACCTTGGAGAAAAATATATGAGGTTGTGCGTGTGTGTTTTTAATGAGTGGGGAGGTTTGTGCTGAGTGAATAAAGTCGCGATGATCTGAAGCAAGAGAATGGGAGCTGTCCTTTCTCCGCTGAGTGGGGGTGCTAGAGATTGAATTAATATCATGGTGTCTTCACAACAGGGAAGATTTGGGTTTCATAAATGAAGGAGAGCTGTCTTGGTGAAGACACCACCTGAGATTGCTTTAGCTCCAAGTCCTTTCTTTTTGATCAAGTGGTGACCGTAGTGTTTCTGCGATAGGTCTCTGTAGGGCAATGCATCTACTGAGAGGTTTACTGGTCCCTTTATCATACCCAGCCTTGTACGTAAAACATGAGGTCAAATACAAAGAACAGCTGAGGATGTAACGATTGGCCAAACAGTGACATAGTGCAGTATAACCATTCTACCTCGGGTGTTAAGCTACTACGAGTGGTAAAGCCAGTGACAAATCTTTGACTTAACCAAAGATGGCAGGATAGTAGTTTGTATTTATATCAGGTGGCTGGGAAATTTGTAGCTGTCTACAAATTACATTGCGCACCCACTTGCTCACTGGTGCTTTGCCTTTTCCATTTCTGCCCCCTGTTGAGACTAAACCCTAGGCATCTCTTACAACTGTTAGCGCCCTCTTTCTGGTGTGGGTTTGCACGGCGTCCTTTAAGGACCCCTGCTCTTATTGCAGAACACTTTTCAGCCATCCACATTACACATAATTTAAATAAACAAACCAAGCACAAGCTGCCCTTCATGTGTGTGATGTCTCCTTTGTTTATTCATTATTTGTACTACTAGGTGACAATTACGGGCTCTTTAATAGGTTTCTGTAAAATAGCTTACACAGCACATAGCAGTAAAACCTTTAATTCATGAAAAAACAGCAATGTATCTACTGTGCACAGCTATGGCATGCAATGTATTTACTGTGCACATGGATGGCATGGAATGTATCTACTGTGCACATGGATGGCATGGAATGTATCTACTGTGCACATCGATGGCATGGAATGTATCTACTGTGCACATGGATGGCGTGGAATGTATCTACTGTGCACATGGATGGCATGGAATGTATCTACTGTGCACATGGATGGCATGGAATGTATCTACTGTGCACATGGATGGCATGGAATGTATCTACTGTGCACATGGATGGCATGGAATGTATCTACTGTGCACATCGATGGCATGGAATGTATCTATTGTGCACATGGATGGCATGGAATGTATCTACTGTGCACATGGATGGCATGGAATGTATCTACTGTGCACATCGATGGCATGGAATGTATCTACTGTGCACATGGATGGCATGGAATGTATCTACTGTGCACATGGATGGCATGGAATGTATCTACTGTGCACATCGATGGCATGGAATGTATCTACTGTGCACATGGATGGCATGGAATGTATCTACTGTGCACATGGATGGCATGGAATGTATCTACTGTGCACATGGATGGCATGGAATGTATCTACCGTGCACAGCTATGGCATGGAATGTATCTACTGTGCACATGGATGGCATGGAATGTATCTACTGTGCACATCGATGGCATGGAATGTATCTACCGTGCACATCGATGGCATGGAATGTATCTACCGTGCACAGCTATGGCATGGAATGTATCTACTGCGCACATGGATGGCATGGAATGTATCTACCGTGCACATCGATGGTATGGAATGTATCTACTGTGCACATCGATGGTATGGAATGTATCTACTGTGCACATCGATAGTATGGAATGTATCTACTGTGCACATCGATGGTATGGAATGTATCTACTGTGCACATCGATGGTATGGAATGTATCTATTGTGCACATCGATGGTATGGAATGTATCTACTGTGCACATCGATGGCATGGAATGTATCTACTGTGCACATCGATGGCATGGAATGTATCTACTGTGCACATCGATGGTATGGAATGTATCTACTGTGCACATCGATGGCATGGAATGTATCTACTGCGCACATCGATGGCATGGAATGTATTTACTGTGCACATCGATGGCATGGAATGTATCTATTGTGCACATCGATGGCATGGAATGTATCTACTGTGCACATGGATGGCATGGTATGTATCTACTGCGCACATGGATGGCATGGAATGTATCTACTGTGCACATCGATGGCATGGAATGTATCTACTGTGCACATGGATGGCATGGAATGTATCTACTGTGCACATGGATGGCATGGAATGTATCTACCGTGCACATGGATGGCATGGAATGTATCTACCGTGCACAGCTATGGCATGGAATGTATCTACTGCGCACATGGATGGCATGGAATGTATCTACCGTGCACATCGATGGCATGGAATGTATCTACCGTGCACATCGATGGCATGGAATGTATCTACCGTGCACAGCTATGGCATGGAATGTATCTACTGCGCACATGGATGGCATGGAATGTACATCTACTGCGCACATGGGGATGGCATGGGAGAAAAATATCTACTGCGCACATGAGTTGGCATGGGAGAAATGTATCTACCTCTAAGCATACATGGATGGCATGGAATGTATCTACTGTGCACAGGTATGGAAATGGATCTACTGTGCGCATGGATGGCATGGAATGGATGCGACTGTGCACATGGAGTGGCATGGAATGTATGCGACTGTGCATGGATGGCATGAATGTATCAGCTGGTGCACATGAATTGGCATGGAATATGAGCTGTGCACGCATGGATGGCATGGAATGTATGGAGCTGTGCGCACATGGATGGCATGAATGGCTGCACAGTAGCACAGCTATGGCATGGAATGTATCTACTGTGCACATGGATGGCATGGAATGTATCTACTGTGCACATGGATGGCATGGAATGTATCTACTGTGCACATGGATGGCATGGAATGTATCTACTGTGCACATGGATGGCATGGATTGTATCTACTGGGCACATGGATGGCATGGAATGTATCTACTGCGCACATGGATGGCATGGAATGTATCTACTGCGCACATGGATGGCATGGAATGTATCTACTGTGCACATGGATGGCATGGAATGTATCTACTGCGCACATGGATGGCATGGAATGTATCTACTGCGCACATGGATGGCATGGAATGTATCTACTGCGCACATGGATGGCATGGAATGTATCTACTGTGCACAGCGATTGCATGGAATGGATCTACTGTGCACATGGATGGCATGGAATGGATCGACTGTGCACATGGATGGCATGGAATGTATCGACTGTGCACATGGATGGCATGGAATGTATCGACTGTGCACATGGATGGCATGGAATGTATCGACTGTGCACATGGATGGCATGGAATGTATCTACTGCGCACATGGATGGCATGGAATGTATCTACCGTGCACATCGATGGGAGACATTTTAGGCTCTATCAGCTTGTTGTTTTTATTTTCCATGAATGAATATACTCACTAAGGCTTGCTATACTGCTATCTGTTGAACAAAGATCTAAAAAACATTTGTGCCAGTGTCTTTGAAATAATGGGAAGATCAGAATTGTCTGGGAAGTCTTGGGCCCGTCCTGCTCCATGTCGATCCTTGAGATTTGTTGTAAACCAGGGAGATTTGGCGTTGAGGTTTTTTTCTTCTTCTTTTAAATAATCAATCCTTTTCCCATTAAGTACTAGATCCTTTTTATTGTTCTTTATATAGCGCCAGCTTATTCCGCTGCGCTTTACTTTTTGAAAGTATTCTGTTGGGAACCCCTCTCCCACATTTTACACATGCAGCAGACAGGGGCGGACTGAGAGCCTTTGGGGCCCCCGGACAAAATTAGATCCCAGGCCCTTTGAAGGCCAAATATATGTGCATTAAATAAATGTTAAATATAACTCATAATACGGCATTCCTTTGGATGTGTATATTGGGAAGACCTGTGTATCAATGCATGTTTGTATTTGAGTCTGTGTGAATGCACTTGTGCATGTCTGGATGACTACATGTGCTTTTTGTATATAGTGTCTGTGTGAATGCATATGTGACAGGTGACAGAGTGTATGAGGGAGAAGGTGACAGGTGGCAGAGTGAGGGGGTACCTGGTGGCAGAGTGAGGGAAGGAGGGGTTGAGTGGTGGCAGAGTGAGGGGGAGACACAGTGAGTGGGGGTGACTGGTGACAGAGGGAGGGAGAGGGGGTGACTAGTGTCAGAGTTAGGGAATGGGTGACTAGTGGCAGAGTGGGGGAGGGAGGGAAGAGATGACTAGTGGCAAAGTGAGGGAGGGAAGAGGTGACTGGTGACAGAGGGAGGGAGTGACTGGTGACAGAGGGAGGGAGTGACTGGTGACAGAGGGAGGGAGTGACTAGTGACAGAGAGAGGGAAGGGGTGACTGTCACTAGTCACCCCCTCACTCTGTCACTAGTCACCCCCTCTGTCCCTAGTCACTCCCTTCCTCACTCTGTCACTAGTCACCCCATCCCTCTCTCTGTCACTAGTCACCCCATCCCTCTCTCTGTCACTAGTCACCCCATCCCTAACTCTGTCACTGTGAAGGAAGGAAGGGGTGACTGGTGACAGAGTGAGGGGATGCCTGGTGACAGAGTGAGGGAAGGGATGACTAGTGGCAGAGTGAGGGAAGGAAGGGATGACTGGTGACAGAGTGAAGGAATGACTGGTGACAGAGTGAGAGAGGGGGTGACTAGTGAAAGAGTGAGAGGGGGTGACTAGTGACAGAGTGAGGAAGGGAGTGGGTGACTAGTGAGAGTGAGGAAGGGGGTGACACAGTGACAGAGTGAGGAAGGGGGTGACACAGTGACAGAGTGAAGGAGGTGGTGACTGTCACTAGTCACACCATCCCTCCCTCTGTCCCTAGTCACCCCTCCCTCTGTCACTTGTCACCCCCTTCCTCACTCTGTAACTAGTAACCCCTTCCCTCCCTAACTCTGTCACTAGTCACCCCCTCCCTCACTGTCACTAGAGTGAGGGGGTGACTAGTGGCAGAGTGAAGGAAGGAAGGGGTGACTAGTGACAGAGTGAGGGAGGTGGTGACTGTCACTAGTCACCACCTCCCTCACTCTGTCACTAGTCACCACCTCACTCTGTCACTACTTCCTCCCTCCTTCTGTCACTAGTCACCCCCTCCATCCCTTACTCTGTCACTAGTCACCCCCTCCCTCACTCGGTCACCAGTCATGCCCTCACTCTGTCACTAGTCACCCCCTCACTCTAGTGACAGAGTGAGGGAGGGTGGGACTAGTGACAGAGTGAGAGAGGGGTGACTAGTGACATAGTGAGGGAGGGAGTGGGTGACTAGTGACAGAGTGAGGAAGGGGGTGACACAATGACAGAGTGAGGGAGGGGGTGACTAGTGACAGAGTGAAGGAGGTGGTGACTGTCACTAATCACAACCTCCCTCACTCTGTCACTAGTCACCCCCCCCTCTCTCTCTCTGTCTCTAGTCACCCCCTCCCTCTCTCTGTCACTAGTCACCCCTTCCCTCTCTCTGTCACTAGTCACACCATCCCTCACTCTGTCACTAGAGTGAGGGGGTGACAGGTGACAGAGTGAGGGAAGGGATGACTAGTGGCAGAGTGAGGGAAGGAAGGGATGACTGGTGACAGAGTGAAGGAATGACTGGTGACAGAGTGAGAGAGGGGGTGACTAGTGACAGAGTGAGTGGGTGACTAGTGACAGAGTGAGGAAGGGAGTGGGTGACTAGTGACAGAGTGAGGAAGGGGGTGACACAGTGACAGAGTGAGGGAGCGGGTGACACAGTGACAGAGTGAAGGAGGTGGTGACTGTCACTAGTCGCCCCATCCCTCCCTCTGTCACTAATCACCACCTCCCTCACTCTGTCACTAGTCACCCCCTCCCTCTCTCTGTCACTAGTCACCCCCTCCCTCACTCTGTCACTAGTCACACCCTTCCTCACTCTGTCACTAGTCACACCCTCCCTCACTCTGTCAATAGAGTGAGGGGGTGACTAGTGACAGAGTGAGGAAAGGGGTGACTAGTGATAGAGTGAGGAAAGGGGTGACTAGTGATAGAGTGAGGGAAGGAAGGGGTTACTAGTGACAGAGTGAGGGGATGACTGGTGACAGAGTGAGGGAGGGGGTGACTAGTGACAGAGTGAGGGAGAGGGTGACTAGTGACAGAGTGAGGAACGGGGTGACTAGTGACAGAGTGAGGGAGGGGGTGACTAGTGACAGAGTGAGGGAGGGTGTGACTAGAGTGACAGGTGAGGGAGTGAAGGGGTGACAGAGTGAGTGAGGTAAGGGGTGACTAGTGACAGAGTGAGGGAGGGGGTTGCTAGTGACACAGTGGGGGGTGACTAGTGACAGAGTGAGGGAGGGGCTACTAGTGACACAGTGGGGGGAGTGACTAGTGACACAGTGAGGAGGGGTGACTAGTGACACAGTGAGGAGAGGGATGACTAGTGACAGAGTGAGGAGGGTGACTAGTGACACAGTGAGGGTGACTAGTGACACGGTGGGGTGACGTGACAGTGACAGGGGGTGACTAGTGACGGGGGGGTGACTAGTGACGGGGGTGACAGTGACACAGTGAGGAGGGGTGACTAGTGACACAGGGGGGGTGACTAGTGACACAGTGAGGGGGTGACTAGTGACACAGTGAGGGGGTGACTAGTGACACAGTGAGGGGGTGACTAGTGACAGTGGGGGGGTGACTAGTGACAGTGGGGGGGTGATTAATTACAGTGGGGGGGTGACTAGTGACAGTGAGGGGGGGAGGGGTACCTAGAGCCTACCTTTCTCTCTGCTCCTTGTGGTCTCCCAGGCTGCTGCTCCTTCCCCTCCTGGGCTTTGTGTGTGAGAGGAGTAAACAGGAAGTGATGTCACTTCCTGCCTCTCCCATCACACAGAGCACCGCGGGACTGGAAGCAGGAGACCTGGCAGAGAGGAGGTGAAGCTGTCAGGTCTCGTGGGAGGAGGGAGGGAGGGGGGTGGATTTAGACAGCGGTAGGTTGTGGGGCCCCGCGCTGCATCAGGGGCCCCACAACCTATCAATTAAATAGTTTTATTTTTTCGTTCCAGTTGGAGAGATCGCTGATCTCTCCAGCTGGAGCATGGCTGTGCGGCCGGGCCCCTGACTGCCTCGGGCCCTCCGAGTGGTCAGTCCGCCCCTGACCTTGCAACATTTTGACAGGTGGATAAGGGGGTTTGATCAGTGAGATCATGCAGAGCAGGCTCTGGTGTTGTGTTTCTCTCTCCTGCTTCTGCACAACAATACTCTCTTTCTATCATTAGTGGACTGATCTGAAACTGTGCTGGATGGTTAAGAGGGGAGGTGGCTGAAGTAACTCCTGTTGCTGAGAGGCGTGCCCAACAATGCAATCTGACTATGTTTATAGGAAGTTTATAAACATTTATTACACACTTTCCAAAGTTTTTCTGTTTTAATTTTGTTTTGTTTATTCGTTTATAAGTGTTAGCTCTTGCTGGTTTAAAAAAAAATAAATAGTGATGCATGACCCTTTAAATGAAACTGTCCCTCTTGGGCCATTTAAATGTTGGGAAGTGTTAGTAACATTAAGCATTCAAAACACCACCAATAATAATAAACAAAGTGAAGTCCTGCACATAATGTTCCTTTAAACCTCACATTACAGTATACCTGTGCAGGCCGGTTTGATTTCTCTAAAAGGGGAAGGGTCCAACAAAAAAAGAGACAGCTGGAGATCATGCAAAGATTACATTATGTGACAGTTTGAAAGGATGAATCCAACACACGCTGATGAAACGTGATACACCACCAACACCTAATACTTAATGTATATTCATGTATAACACATACGTAGAGTAAATTATACAGATACAGTATGCTAATTTCTATCTCTAGTGAAAGAAATAGTGAACGCATTTTGCTCCTTGAGGGTTAGTGGGGGAAGGAAGCCAAATTTATGCTTGAAAAAAAATCATGTATTTATTTATCAAATGTAAAGTAGAAATAAATAAAATGCAAACGAGGGAAAGTACACACTTTAAAAAAACAACCTTACACCCATTTAGGGTTTATTGCTACTAGTAGTTTATTAATCAAGTAGCAAATTAGTCATTTTTAAAATAGTGTAAATATAGTTTAAAATGTAATAGTTTTAGCATGTTGGGCTATCTGACTCTAAAAGTAAATGATATTTTCTGTGCACAAATGTCTCCGAAGTTAAGACGCTGCAATATGCACACAGTGTGGACGTGTAATGTAGTAGGCAAGACACAGGCAGTGTGTGCACAGTGTGACATTGTAGAACCAGACAGAGAATGCACATAGTGTGACAGAGGAGACAAAGAGTCAAAGTGTGCACACAGTTTGACTGAGAAAACTTACAGACAGAGTGTGCACACAGTGTGACAGAGAAAACACTGACAAAGTGTACACACAGTGTGACAGAGAAAACACAAAGTGTACACACAGTGTGACAGAGAACCTACAGACAGAGTATGCACACAATGTGAGAGAGAACCCACAGACAGAGTATGCACACAGCGAGAGAGGAAACACAGACAGAATATGCACACAATGTGAGAGAGAACCCACAGACAGAGTATGCACACAGCGAGAGAGAGGGAACACAGACAAAGTGTACTCACAGTGTGAGAGAGAACCCACAGACAAAGTGTACACACAGTGTGAGAGAGAACCCACAGACAGAGTATGCACACAATGTGAGAGAGAACCAACAGACAGAGTATGCAAACAGCAAGAGAGAGGAAACAGACAAAGTGTACACACAGTGTGAGAGAGAACCCACAGGCAGTGTGCACACAGTGTAAAAGAGTAGTTACAAAGAGAGTGTGTGATAGAGGAGACAATGACAGAGTGTGCACACAGTGTGACAACAGACACAGAGACAGTGTGCACACATGGTGTAACAGAGGCGATAAAGACAGAGTGGGCACACAATGTGAGAGCAGACACAGACCGAGTATGCACACTGTGTGACAGAGGAAACAAAGACAAAGTGTGCACACAGTGTGAGAGCAGACACAGACAGAGTTGGCACACAGTGTGAGAGCAGACACAGAGACAGTGGGCACAAAGTGTGACAGAGGAGACAAAGACAAAGTGGGCACACAGTGTGAGAGCAGACACAGACAGAGTGTGCACACAGTGTGACAGAGAAGACAAAGTGGGCACACAGTGTGAGAGCAGACACAGACAGAGTGTGCACACAGTGTGATAGAGGAGACACAGATAGTATGCATAAGGTGTGACAGAGGAGACAAAGATAGTGTGCACAAATTGTGACATAGAAGACACAGATAGTATGCACACAGTGTGACAGAGGAGACACAGATAGTATGCACACGGTGTGACAGAGGAGACAAAGATAGAGTGTACACAGCACACAGTGCGACAGAGGAGACAAAGATAGAGTGTACACAGCACACAGTGCGACAGAGGAGACACAGACAGTGTAACACCCAGCTGAGACACAATGCAGTTATTAATTGACTGACTAAAATTTGAACAACAAATAAAAATAAATAAAACAAATAGATATATAAAAACCGCTGTTATTACACCATTCAATGACAAAGTTTGATCTCCCTTTTCACGTTCATTACAGTAGGCTGAAGCATTTTGAAAATTTAATGTGAATATTTAATCCGAATTTATACAAATACCAGCATGGCAGAAGTCGCAAACAGGATAATGTTAATATGTGTTCACCCTGGTACACAGAAAACATCATCTCCATCAGACTGAATACGAATATAGAGCAGAAAGGGGATTATTTTATTATTTATAGTCGTTCGTGTTTTATCCCAGATTGGATAAAAGGCGTATCGGTACAGATATCTCGAACTCCCTAATTGCCCTGACAACTCCCAGCATTCATCTCACTATATCCACAGCCACACAGATCAAAGTGGAGCCCCCACCAATCCACCAGCTGATCCCGCTCTCTCCGGGGACATGTATTGAATATGACCCTTTCCAACCTTTCCTCGTGTCCTAGCAGGGAGCGCAGCTTATCATTTGCATTTCTGACAATTCACACCGAAAAGGCGATGGTATTGTTCTTGGCTATAGCCTTCTTCCTCGAAAGGCACGGAGAGATATTAAATATAAAGAGATGCCTGCATATTTTGCATTAAATAAAATAAACAAATACACGTTTTTTTGTAAAGAAACTAAATTTTAAAATGTTGACCCCGTCTATGGAATATTGTTAAAAGGTACAAAAAAAGCAAGACCTGTCACTCCAGCTACTGGGGATTGCAAGGTGAAATACTCTCAGCCATCCACCAGCCAATTGGAGAATCATGCTCTTAACCCTGGTTAATATCAGTAGGTTTGAAAACTATGATTAAGATATGCGGGCTACTCAACTTGCAACCTTACGTGCTTTAGGGATCTTCCCTTTGTTATTATTATTATTGTTATAATTATTAATATTTATAAAGTGCCAACCAATTCTGCAGCGCTGTACAATGGGTGCACTAACAGACACGTAGTTGTAACCAGACGAGTTGGACTCACAGGAACAGAGGGATTGATGAGCTTACATGTCAGAGGAAGTGGGGTATAGTGACACAAAAAGTAAGGGTAGGGTAGAAAAGTAGGTTGCTAGGATATTATTCATTGAGGGCTAGTTGTTGTTTTGATGACAGTTGCAGGAGAGGAATCAGGGTGCGGGGAGAGAAAGCTGTTCACAGTTTAATTGAAACACTTTCCTGAAGATGTACATTTTCAAAGATTTTTTGAAGAAGTGGAGAGTCTAACAGAGAAGGGAAGGGCATTCCATATGCAGCCCCAGAGAACGGTGCAGCCCTAGAGGAGTTTATAGGAAGCAGAGTATAGATAAACAATGAGTTTACAATCTGTAAGAAGCGGGTAGGGTATAGTTACACAAGGAGCTTGC